TATTTGAAATATTAACGTTGTAAATTACTCTCTTGCAAAAGAGTAAAAATTTAAATATCAAGATATCATTATATTGTATGATATAAAGATAAACAATTACGTATAATTACTTATCAAGTGCGCCTGTTTTTTCTATCGCTTCTTTAAATAATTGTATGAACAAATTAGATGTATCTTAATGCTATTATGTATGTACTTATTGACGATGAACCGTAATGGAGTAAAATTTTGTAAGTAAGAGTGAGTAGGAGGAAGAAAAAGAAAAAGATAGGGAGAGAATGTTTTATACCTCGAATTTCTTTAATGCTAATGTCAAATAATTAATGTCTAGACTAAATTTGTGATTAATAGAAGTGAAACACGATATGATATAAAATTGAGTTAGGGTAAAACGCTATTTTAACGTAATTGATCTAGAATATGAAGTTCTGAAGTAGAATCTGAGTGTCTATCAGAGTCTCTTTCAGATAACCTGATGCTTTCTTTTATATGTAAAAGGTACATATATGCGCGTGTATTTGTGAATGTGAGTGCCTACATGTACGTGTTTGCGTTGTTTGTGTACGTGTGTGTGTGTGTGTTAATGTTTGTTTGTGATTACGTAGAAAATACCCTGTATATACATACTTCTGCGTATTAATTTCAATATTTATAAGAACTATGTATAAATAATGCAGTTTATATATCTACCTCGAATTTCTGCAATACTAATGTCAAACAAATAAATATCTAACCTAATTTTCTGAATTGTCTTTATTTATGATGCATAAAAAAACGTAAAAATAAGCGATACAAATTTATTTAAATTAAATGCGAAATAATGGAAAAGTTATTATTATCACGTTTTGAGAGGCACATTTATGATCAAAATTGCATATAAATATTATATGGATGTCCCGATAAAAACTTTTATTCACTCAATTTTCTTTAGCTACTGATTCTTTTATCATTACATTTATTTGATAATCTTTGGTATTTTAATAATTTTTTAATGTGTACTTACTCATCTCGGCCCTGAATACTTGTGGAATGTCTTCTTAAATGTCTTCGTAAATCTTCAATACTTGTTAAGAAAGATACTGTTGTGCCACAATTATTACATTTCGCCTTATATCCCGGTAACTTCGAGTAATATTGTTCCAAGTCGTCAGGTAGTGTGCAAGTGTCATTATTGAGAGATATTCCATGTTTTTTAAATAAGTGTACTCTCATTATTTTTATGCGATTTCCTATGTGAGATACCTTAATTTCTTTTTTACAGGTTGTGCACTTTACCAGTGAGGGATTCAGATCCTCGAAATAATTCCAAAAGTTGCTGCGTTTTCTTTTCAGTGCCATTATAACCGTCCTGTAATACATATTGTCTGGTATTAAATGTAGTACAGTGATCGCCTAAAAAAGCCTGTTTTGTACGATTATCACTTCTTTTTACAAGTACATGGGAATCATGAAAATCCAAAACTTTCGATGTATAAATTTGTAAATAAAATAAAAATGGACCATATAATTATTTAAAATTTTACATATGTAAGTTATATACTTGTGCAGAGAGCTCAATATTTAAGTATTTGGATATCATTACATTGTATAATATTAAAAAATCGAATAATTACTTATCAATTGTGCTTGTTTCTTTTCTCGTTTGTTCAAATGATTGAACGGACGAACCAGATGATTCTTGGCTTTCACATTCTGCAGTAGGATTCGTATCAAAACCCGTTGTAATTGAAGTGCTTGGTCTGCATTGAAAAACGGTGCAATTAGAAATGGCATTATTTAAAATATTAACGTTATAAATTACTCTCTTGCAAAATAACTCTTGCAAAAGAGTAAAAATTTAAATAACAAGACATTATTATATTGCGTGATATAAGAAAATAATTACTCATTAAGTGCGTCTGTTTTTTCTGTCGTTTCTTTCATACATGATTGAACGAGCGAACCAGATGTCTCTTGATTTTGACGGTGTGCAGAGGGATCCGTAATATCAGCCGCTAAACTTGAAATGCTTGGTCTGTATAGAATAGTGGTGTGATTAAAAATAGAAAAAGTAATAATTATTAAAATACTACAAGTGTACATATTGCTTAATGCTATTATGTACTTGTTGGCGGTAAACCGCTAATGGAGTGAAGTTTTGTAAGTGAGAATGAGAAGGAGAAAGAAAAAGAAAGAGATAGGAAGAGAAAGTTTTATACCTCGAATTTCTGTAATGCTAATGTCAAATAATTAATGTCTAGACTGAATTTGTGATTAATAAGCCTATAGTTACACCGATCACTTGATACGCGTATTAAATAGTAAATAACTAGTAAATAAGTCTGATTATTGGCTGATCAGTTCAAATATACTATTTGATTTTGATACGCGTATCAAGAGATCGGTGTAAACTAGGCCATAGATAAGTGAAACATGATATGATATAAAATTGAGTTAGGGTGAAACGTTATTTTAACGTAATTGATTTATTCTAGCTTTAGATGAGATGAAGAAATGTACATAAATTTACACAAATAATATTATATTAGTTTACCAAAATCCTGTCCTGAGACCGTAAAATGGTGTATCCTTCTAATTAAACTTATGATATTTTGTACGTTACAATGACATTTTTGAGAAACATCTAAGGCAGTTAACGGGTTAATATGAGTATGCGTTTAAACATAAGACGAATACCGTCACCGTCAATTATAACGGTCAAAAATGATAGAATGTCTTCACGAAAAATTGTAGATAATGTCAGAATAAATTAGGTTGGTGCTATATATATAATAATAATCTCAAGGGTAACGAATAATCAATATCACTATGTTGACATTTGCAGATCTATAACGTATATTCAAATATTATAAAAAACCGTTGATTGTTAGCTAATAGAAATTTTTATTAATGAATCATTTAAGTAATATGTGGATGGCATATTTGAGTTGTGCTATATAGATTTTATTAAACAGAGCTATTTAATTTAAATACTGAATTTGAATAAAAACTATGTATAAATCATACACTTTATACAGCATGTTTTTGAAGTAAGTACACAAGCTTGAAGAAGATATTTCTTGGTTTATTTTAAGAAGAAAAGGTTTTATAAACACGTATTCTAAATTACTTTGTTTTTAGAACACATGGTGTTAAAGACACACGCCCCAGGTAGATTTAAAAATTTTTCATCGGTACTAGAATATATAATTCTTAATACCACATATACGCATACCAAATTTCAATAAAATGCCTTTAAATGTTTTCCAGATTTTCGAAATTTTCATTTTCTTCTTTACAACTTTGACATTCTGTATTTTGAAAATAAAGTAGTTTAAAACACATGTTTAGAGGACCTTTTCTTCTTAAAATTAGCCAAAGAATATCCCCTTCAAATTTGTGTAATTACTTTTAGGAAACACTCTGCCTCCAATTTCTGCAGTATTAATGTCAAACAAATAAGCATCTTAATCTAAATTTCTGAATTATTTATATCTATGATGCATGAAAAACCGTGAAAATAAGTGATTCATATCTATTTAAATTATATTTGCGAAATAATTAAAAAATAATCATTATAACGATTTGAGAAGCCCATTTATGATCAGAATTGCAAATGAGCATTAATAATCTTTGATATTTTAATAATTTTTTTATTGTGTACTTACTCATCTCGGCTCTGGATTCTTGTTAGAAGGACTGAATGTTTTTTTAAATGGTCTCGTAAATATCTCGAATTTCCAAAGAAGGATAATGTTTTGTTACAATTATTACATTTTGCCTTATATCCCGGTAACTGGGAGTAATATTGTTTTAAGTCGTCATGTAGTGTGAAAGTGTCATCATCAGGAGATATTCCATGTTTTTTT